TTCAAATGTGAGTTATAAGTGGTTTTTAAAAATGCATTTTTTAGATTTCATGTCAAAATATAAAATTTTAATTACCATGAGTAAGACGTCATAAGACCATATATTGATTTTTGTATCAATTTTTGTCAAAATTTTCGATAATTTAATGATTTTTAAACTGTTTTCTGAATATTCAAGTTTTGTTAACTGAAAAAGTTTTATAAAGAAAATATATAGCAACTTACACTCTCAATTTAAGTTATTTTGAACAAAACTATGCCCACTCTTATCTAAATTGCAAAAATTTCACATAATATATTCATTTGACAAATTTTCGATATAAATACGTACTTCAGCAGTGAAACCTCAGTGCACAATGTATAAGTGTATGAATATCCGCAAAATGGTATGAATATTTCATTACTTTCCAAGGAACTTTATTACACACACACACAAATAGGCTGCTCGCCTTCAACGACTTTTGCACCTCACTCGAACTCAGCAAAAATAAAAACTCAGTGTCTTCTCTTCACACAAGTGCCAATGCTATTAGACACACAATTTTTCGCAAAGTAAATTATTATTCATTTCTGCTGATTTCGGCGTAGACACAAGCGTCGCCAATCTACTTCCAACGTCTGCTAGGCACTTCTGCAATTGATAGCATTGATGAAGTTCCAACAGAAATTCGGCAGCGGCGCCATCAGAGTCGTTGACAATCGCTCTATATATCCACACCTGAATATCTTCTATTTTACCTGTCCTCAACGCGCTATGCATTAACGAGTTTAAGCAAAACTGTCAGCTTAAAAATTTCTTGCGATTCGAAGCTTCTATGCTGTGGCACTTCATCGATCCCTCTAACTATTTAATATTTCATAGCAGTTATGCTTGGCTTTGTGATTTTTTCGCTATTTCTCTCTTTTATTTATAGCTTATCTCAACACTCATTATGCGGTTATTCCACCCTGGTGGCGAGCGCTCCGCGTCAATCATTGCGTTAATGGAGTTTCATATTTCATTATTCTATATTTATTTAACTTGAAGACAAGCATTTTATAGTCTGGCGAATCTTTTGTTATTGTCAGGTATAATTGGCTGGCCATTGTACTTGAAAATAGCCAAGGACTGTCTATGAATTTACAGTTACTTAAAGTGTGTATTATTATACGAATTGTTATATTATAAAAGTTCCGCAACAGCCTGTCTCAGGCACGCGATATAATAGAAGGAGAGAAGGATAGGGCATTCCGATTGACTTCTAGTACGCGTATCGGGAAGTAAGAGGATGAAACGAATAATACCTTCTGAAAGGCCATTCACCTTCTGCATAAAGTAAAAATTCGCAAATGCACTATAAACGGAGGCCACAGAATTGGCTGTAGCAGGGGCAAGAATTGGAGAGGCGCCAACCCCGCTCATAAGCGAACAAAAAAGCTCGCTAAACCCCACACCACCAGTAGGGGGAAGAGACCCTGGACGAAAGACTGGCAAACACTCCAGAATCCTTAGACGATGACCACAATAACAGCGGGTACCGACTACAGAGTTCAGCTCCCAGGACAGGGAATATGGAACGAGTCTGTGGGAGATATTACATAGCGCCACCAGCACTGGACGGGATCTCATATTATGGGTATAGATCCAGACTTATACACATTTCTTGAGTCTGTAGGTGGTAGTGCTCACTTGTTGTTCTCCACTGTTCCAGCTTAAAGTTGGTCATCCTAAGGTCGCGGCAAAACTCTACAATATTAGCTCTATGTATGGCCTGACTTTAGTTGGTTTAAACGGGATATCGTCGACGACTGCCAAAATATTATTTCTAAACATATTGGGCAGTTGGTGTGTTAAAAATCAGACAATTTATCAAATCCGCAGAGATGCTGAAAAAGACTTAATTGGTTACAACTTGTGTCTGATGATGTCTTAAGAGCGGTCGCCAGTGGTCAGAGGCTCCTGCGCTTCCCTTTTCAACCAACCAACCAACAACCTAATATACATATGTAAATAAAATACACATTTTACTTTTACTAGGTTTGTTTATATTTTTTGTTATTTCAAATTACACATCAACTGTCAGAAAAAGTAATTGGATCATTTTGATTTTTACGTTTTCTTTCAGTGGGATTCATGATGCAAATTTTGCTTTTAAAAATCAAAGTAATTCAACAATTATCATATACCTTACTGAGAACAATTTACAATAACTAAATAATAAAATTCAATGTTTTTTTTTTTATGGATTCCAATTAAAAAATATGTCACAATAGAATATTTATTTCAATATCTTAATTTTACAATCAGATTTTCGTAAGTTCATTGTATAATAAATTAGGACACTATAAGCTAACTTAAAACAAAACAGTAAATATTATTACATCTACTTTTGTTACCAATTTTTACTCTTATTTTCTCTAGCAATTTTCTCGGAATCTGATTTACTACACTCACTTATATATGTACAACCAATGAACTATGTGCTTTAGTGCTTCTCTCAACTTTTGAAATTTTTCGCAGAGAACTGCAACGAATGCCGCCACATGACAATCTGATTAGCTTCCACCACTTTCGCTAGCCAATTAACAGTTTTAATGTTAATTTAATTTGTTTAGAAATCATAAAGGTTAAATAGGTCAGCACACTGCATGTAAAATGTGTGTGTGTGTGTATGAGTTTAATCGAGTTGACACTCTGCCCTCTCTCACCCACTCTCCCTCTCCTATCTGTCAACTGTCGCTCGGAACTCGGCCGGCACTTTATATAATGACTGTGATGGCAAAAGTTTTGCATTTTAAGCAAATAAAACAAAACTGGGACGTCCTCCGTTTACTTTTTGGCGCTTGTTGGTGGCGCTAGACTAAAGGTACGAGTTTGAATTCCCAAGGCATACACGCGGTAACTTTTGCTTATATTCTTATAAACAAATTAACTTCTTGGTAAGCACTATAAATGCTGAATTGTTTGGATAGAAGGACTTATGCACTTACATTGTATTATTTCGACGCTGTCTGATTATCTTAAGGAATATCGGTCTGTCGTTGTTAATATTATGGTACAATAGCTCACATACATTGCATAGAGTCCAGCTCATAATTCGGTTAAAAGAAAAAATATCTATACAGGACTGAAAAAAAATGCAAAATGTTCACATTTTTTAATGCAAAACTTTATAATCACCTTCAAAATAGACACCCTTCGGCTCTAATATATGCATGCCAAGGCTTAATTCAATTTTCCATACACTTGTTATCAGTTATCACTTGTTATCGGCTGAGATGGTCTTTACTGCTTTCAGCGTATTTTGGTACATTCGCTAGATTATTGAACAGTTTCAACATCATATGCACAAAACTCATGATTCGTTACCAGTAGTGATGCGTTTGATGTCCTCAACTTATTGTTGTAAAACATTTACTTTACTCGATTTCTGTATTGTAAAAGGTTCAGCTCTTTTTGTTAGACTACCTTCCTAATAACCTGAATAATTCAAGTATATTGAGAAACAGAGAGAGTGGCTCCACCAAGATCTAAAAGTTATGGAAGAAAGGTATGAAAATTGATGGATTGATCATTGCTGGTTCTTAAAAAGAAATTGTGAAATAGAAAATTATAAAAGAAAAGATCATAAAAGGGGGTTATTGATATATATCTTTGTTTACTTTAATGTATCCTTATTTTTCAAAACAAAACTGATTTTGTTTCATGTTTTATGTTTTTTTTTTAATTTAAAATAAAAATAAACGCTAGAAATAAACGAAATCATATCCTATAAAAATCATTCGGCGATATTGCCGTTGTCGGTTTAATTGTCGTTTTTAAGTTATTGTCGTTGTTATCGTCGCTTCGTTTCTAAATTCGTATACTTCAAGTATGGTATATAGAAATTCAAAAAAAAATTACAGTAATTTTAAAGTAAAATTAAGAGTTTATGATAAAGCCCAGATAGCGACATTGTATCTGACGTTGTTAATTGTTTTTTTTTTGTCAGAAAATATTTGAACCATTTTGTGAATGAACATAGTAAATAAGGCAATAATAATAATAACTCCTCCTGCTGATGCTCTACCTTCGGATATGTTGTGTACTAATTTTTCTTTATTTTGAATATTAAGTCCTTACATACCTTAAAATAAATATGAAACACCTTCATAGATATGAAAATCCAATTTCATAAATTTTATTTACTTTATGCCCACCATCTCCGTCGCGATATGGAGCTGCAAATGAATTAAGTTTTTTCGAAATACCCCACCAAAAATACTCGAAATTCGAACATTTGGCATACGCAAACTGTTTTTTTCATTTCAGACACTAAAATTTCAAACTGCTTCGTGTTAGTAATTTTCATATTCACTTCCAATAATCACGCTCGTTTCTATCTTGCTCTCAATTACTGCAGCGACAAGGAACGACTGTTACCATGTCGTTACCATATTCGTTTCAAAATGGGGAATACGAATTTATTTTCGTTAAAAGTCAATAACGCCAACAGGAATGCCAAATAGCCTGTCTTATTTCATTTTAAAATGACACCGGCAACGGAAATAGGGCCGACTGATAGTGTCATGAATTGTGAGAACAAATATAGGGCAATAAAACCACTATAAACCAGTATTATATTTATTGAACAATTACCAATATGATCATAACAAGCGAACGATCCAAGTACTTGTTTCCTCATTAAAAATTAAATCAAATCAATTTACGACTGTACCCAACTATTTTCTTTTCCACAGCTGAAATGTGCACCCACTTACTGTTTAACTAGCAATTATTTTTCAATTTGCGAAAATAGCTCATATATCAACAAATTTCGCGGGCAAATTGTCCCTCTTTAGACCAATTAAATAAACATTTCCTACGCGGATCCTCCGTTCGCTCGCAATTCATGCGAAGGTAACATTTAATACATTCATGTTTGCTCAAGGCTTGGTATAAAAGCAGTGCAACCTTTAAGTCAACTTGCAGCAGATGCATAAAAACCGTTACGACAGCAACAAGCGAACGGCCAAAGAAGCGACTATAAAACCCAACAAGTCTACAACAACCGGACGAAATGTGGGCGACACACACGCAAACGCACGTTACGACTTTGTTGCAGCTCTTAAGTAAGTTAACTGCATACCTCCGGCTAACGGCTCCTGGAAATAACTGCGCCACCGTTAGCACCCAATTTACATGCCACCACTTGAATTTCACAGCCGTCACTATCTGTGTCGCAAACTGCTACTGCCAATGAGCCCGTTTGTTTTCTCTTACAGTACCAAGATACTTCGCACAATTCTCCTCAGTGCTGATTGTCCATGATGGGCGCGTTGACGCAGACAGCGCCTTGCAGCGGGAATATCTCGAGGCGGTGCAACTGGCATTCCGCAATCTGTCCCAGCAGGGCCGCATAATTGGACTGCAATGGATTGATGTCAGTCAACTGAATGGCGGTGGCAGCAGTAGCAGCAGCAATTGCGGAGACAATTACAACAACAGCGTTGACAATTTGGTCTACGACGATGAGTTGGAGCTGTGTGTGCTGCGCGCCATTAACATTGTAACCGAGGTGGGTAAAGCTTCATGTTGTCTTCTTCGCAAACAACGGTAATAACTTCGCTGCGATGGCAGCCTTCACTCGCCTATTATTATGCTTTTAGTATATTTGGCTCTGTTTAAGTGCGTATGTTTACAGTTACATTTATGTTCGTTATCGCTCGCTTTCTGGAGTTTTGCGTGTGAATGCGTACATAGTTAAGTGTATTTGCCCTCTTACAGTGTTCTCATTTGTTATATTTTTCGCAGGGTTTCATCACCATTCTTTCGGACACAGTGCGTTTCCTGCACGCTCGCTACTTTGCAACACGCAATGCGAAGTTACGTCTCAAGGATAAGTTTTATCTATTCTTGTGCGAGCATGAACGTCCCGAGGAGTTGCTATCAACCGAGATACTGCAGTGTGAGTAAAAATGCAATGAATGCACGGAATTACACAAATTCTATTTCGCGAGAAAAAATTGTTTTTATTTCACACAAGAAAGTTTTCAATGGTTTATAGTATAGTTTTAATTCATATATACAATCCTCGACAACTTGTGCATCTATAAAAATGTATAATATATAAAATGTATCATCTCTAATTTATATACTTACACTTTAGTTACGCGTTAGTGAGATAGTTCGAAACAGTATACCAAAATTTACTTTACAACTGAATATAGACTACCACTGCAGGCAATTGAAACATTTTGTATATATACTTTTATGTTATAGAATACCTTCAGCCCTTATTATAGTAGGTAGAACAGTGATAATCGGAAAACTGCTCACGACCAGTTGCTTACATCATTTTACAAGAAAATATGAATGCATCTTTCAAGAAAATATATAAATTTTTTTTATTTATTTACGAATACATAAAGCAATCGTTGCCCTTTAAACACATTATAAATTTTCAAGCAATATTTACTTTCACATTTAATTTTTGTAAAATGTTTTTTTAAAAATTTACACTGTCTATTAAAATTTTTATTTATTTTAAAATTTCTGTCAAAAATATCAGCAACGCTGCCAAATATTATGAACAGCTCTTCCTAAATATGTAAACACCAGGTTTTTGCCTCCTTCTTCATATATACTAGCTTTTGTTGAATCCGCAAATAAAGATCCTGTTAGCTACTCTTTAATTTAATTAAATTTTTTTTAGATCCATATAAACTTTATTTATACGAGACGATTAGATCATACCTGACCACTGCAAATTTTTATGTTCTCTAACGTGTTGTCTTTCTTCTGTATTATTAAAGTAATAAGGAAATCACCTTGTTCTCCATCTTCCCTTGATCTGCGATGTACAATATGGTTCAAAATTTTATTCAGATCATTCACAATGTTTTGTTATTTATAATCAATCATCTGAATTAATTGAGTCAAAGTATTTGAAATCCATTGTTTATGCTAGTTTTAGTCAAATAATAACTTCTTGTAAATTTTAAAGAATTAAGTTTTAATGAAAAAATAAGTAATTTACGAATTAAAAAATGTCTCGAAAGCAAACAAAAGTCCTCTCTAATAAAGATAATAATGAAATATCAATGATTGAGTTATCAATATTATACTCTTACTTTGCCGTTATCTCGACCATGCTGGTTATAAAGGTTTATGGCTTATGAATTATCTTCAAGTTATCGAAAATTTCGCTCCAAAAAATCGAATTGTTTAGTTTCACTATTATTTAAAGGAAAATACGTACAGCTACTTTATGAAAAATAATTTGCCGATATACTAAAAAAGCTTTATAAAAAAAGCAAAATTTTTTTGTAATATCTATTTTCTTAATAGCGCCTTTTCTATGTCAAGTACCAGCCAATTATATTAACTAGTGCAAAGTTGTTAATTTTATACGTACAACGTAGCGTATAAGCAACATAATGGAAAACTGGGATAAAAATAATCTAACGTAGGCGAATTATATTACGTATAATTTAATTAATAAAATAAGTGAACTATAAATAATCCTAAACATATATAGATACATTTTTGCTTACACCATTTGAATAAATACATACATACAAGTATACATATATGCATTTTGAATAAAGTAACTCTACGCCCCACTGCATGCAATACTTGGTTTTGAGCCTTTTCGATGAGATTACAATTCTTATCTCGTTAAGAGATATGCTTATATAATTATAGAAAATACAAAAGCTGCTGATAGATAGATACTTACCATTTGAACTTGCTGTAGCTGGTAGTATTAATCTCTCATAGGATAAGAGCAGCGCTTACAATACAGTAACTTAATTATTCAGTTATTATTACTAAATACTTTAACAACAACCAACAACATTTTTTAATCCTGCAAATACTTCAATGCTTGGTTTTATTCTAGTTTATCCACACCATCTTATGGTCACACCAGAAATGCTCACTGCACAGCAGAGCGACAGCCCACAAGGTATTTCTATCAAAACAAAAGTCAATTCAAAGTATACTCACCAAATACCCAATACAACCGCAACAACGGCAACTCGTCGCACACGGAACACCACTAAGCCAACAACTACAGCAATCCCATTATCCACACTCGCCACGACATCTCCAAGCGCGCACCGCGACATCAACATCCAAATGTGGACACAAAAGTTTGTTGGCGCCAGCGGCAATTTGGATGCGCTGCTCCTGGACGCATTCTTGCCGAACGAAACTTTTACCAGGAACGCTGAACTTTACCCAAATAAAGTTAACAATATGAGGGGGCGCACAATCTATGTCGGCTCCGTTACATACAGACCATATGTGGTGGCTAATTATGTGGTATGTTATACAAAGATAACGGTATACTTATTTTTAGCTTATAACTAGCAGTACTTTTCGGTGTGAGCGTTTATTGTAAGGGCGTATCAACTGCGGGGGCTGGTGGGTTATCAGATGCGAGGGGCTGTGTTCGAAATTTAAATGTAAACACATGTAAGTGGGCGTGTGCTATGAGTGTTCGCAAGTTATTTGCTAAGATTATATGTGTAGGTATGTGTAAGCGTGAAGCAGGTTGAGATTTGAGAACAACAATAACAAGAAGAAATCATGGCATAGCATAGCATGGCAATAACAAGACGCAAAGTTTTGTTCGCACACAATTGTTGACTTAACAGGAAAATACAGACGCATATAATTCGTGTGAACGTGTGTGTGTGTGTGTGTGTCATTGAACGTTGCTAAGCGCTTATAGCTATTTGCTTGAACTTGCTTATTATTAGCTTTTGTGTTTGCTTAATATATGCTGATGTGCTAACTCACATTTATGCTTTAGCTCTGATTTATCAGATATACATACTATATTGATGTGTTTCTAATAACCAATGTGGTTGAGTTGCCAATCTAATCGGAGAAAATTCAGTTGTAGTTAGTTGCTTATGAATAACAAAACTTTATTGCCTAAACTCATCAGGCACTTGACTGACATGCGCTTTCATATCATTTACACTAAGGTGTCCCTGCTTTTTCGTTTTCTTTTTCGGACTATTAACAAGCTATTTTAACTTAATTTTTAATAAAGTTTTAAGAACCAGTTTATAAGTATTAACATTATAATGACGACATACAACCAAACAAATTACTGGCTACGCCGAGACAAGAATACTCTATATATTTTTTATAGCATAAAATTAAAAACTTTTTCATAAGAGTATTTGATTCTAATCGATCATTTTGTACGGCAACTATATATACCTATAGTGATACAATATCAGCGGTTCCAAAACAATCAAATGAGCAGCCTCTTGGCGAGGAAAGGACGTGTGCAAAATTTCATAAATACCTCAAAAACTCACGGACTAGATTTAAGATATTATTTAAGACAATAATTGTTAAGTAAAGAACCATCTTAATTAATAGCCAGCTGGTACAGGCGATGTGGATGCAATGAACACCAGTGATCACAGTCGCACCGTAGCTTATGTGGGCTCCGAAGCAGAGCTTATGAAAACTTTCTGCGAAGTGCGCAATTGTCATATACGCTTGAAACCATGTAAGTAAAATAAATTATGCAGATCACAGGATTTATGGATTGAGGTGAATGTATAGAAGCAATTTATAGCAGTACATTTATATCTATAATTTATAGTTTATATTTTAAATCGATGCTTTAATGCCGTTTATGTTTCGAAACATTTGAGAAAGAAGATCATCCTTTGTATCGAAAGATATTTGCAAACTATTAGATATGTTACGGAGTATTTGCGAAATTATACCTATATTAATGTATACGAGTATATATTGTATTTCATATACATAAGTTATGGGATTTCTGATATAAGTTTTTGGTTTTATGAATGAGGCAAACTTCGAGAAGAATTTTTTGCAACTATCTGATATCCCACGAAAGATCGCAAACGTACATTAGTTCGCAGTTCCTAAACATTTTTATAAGACGACTGTTTATGTTCATCAACACCCCACATTTTCGTTATAATGCTGATCCATTCAGTTATAATACCTATAGCGGTTCCTACATATTAACACTTTTCAGATAAGTTATATAGCGGTTCCTACATATTAACACTTTTCACATAAGTTAACCTCAAAAAATAAAAACGCTCAATTCCCACTATCAATAATTGTAACTGCTTTAGATAGCAATTCTTTTGAAGATGGAAATATATATGTAGTTGCTACCTTATTTTACGAATTTGGAGAGTGATTTTACTATGGAGAAGTTTAAGCTAGTATAATATAATTTTCAAAGAATAATTTTGAACACTAACAAAACTCTAGACGGTGCTGATAACTGGGGATCCATTTATGAGAACGAGAACGCGACCGGTATGTTGGGTGATGTGTACACACAAACTGTCGAAGTAGCGATCGGCTGCATTTACAACTGGTATAACAACATCTTGGAAACATCTAACACCATAGCACGTTCTTCTGTAGCTATTTTGGGACCAGCGCCGGCGTAAGCTAACACATTTCACAATACAAAGTTTACTTCTATTCTCTCTTGCAGACAATTTCCCGCTTGGCGTGCCAACATAATGCCATTCAGTAACGCCCTATGGATCTTCTTAATACTAACGATTATACTTTGTGCCGCCGTTATGTACTTTATTCGTTTTGTAGCCTCTGTACTGGACCAATGGCAAAAAGGTGTACAACAAGATTTTCAACATATAACAGCATTTGGACAAGCAACATTAGATATGTTTGCAGTTTTCATTCAACAGCCGTCCGGGCCAACAAGGTGAACTTGTATTTAAGAATTTGTTTGTTGAAAACTGGAGTTAAAATCATAATCTCTAGTTCCGTCGAAATCAGTAAACCAGACTTAAATTCATTAAAAAGCTTTATGGAAAGCCATTGCAAACTTTATTGAAAATTTTATCGTAAGCTTTCGTGCAGAATATGCCAATGTAGGCCTCCGAAAGAATACCTTGCAGCCGATATTATACGAGGTGTGTTCAAACTTTAACGGAATTTTTTTTTTTTTTGAAAATAATTTGTCATTTATTTATTTGTTTATATTAATGTTGTTACCTTGAATAAAGCCCCCATGCACTTATACCAGCGCCTCTTCGAATCCCCGAAATACTTCTCAAAATCAATTTTTGGGATAACATTTAGCTCTTTCAGCGATTTTTATCTACCATATGCTGATAACATGCCGGCCCTATAATTTAATTAGTATTGTTTTGTGCCAAAAATTTACAAACAAACAACGAAGTGTGAGCTTTTAACAAACAAAAATCGCCAAGCTTATAAAAACATGTCTAACTTTAACAGCTGCTACAGACAAAGTAAGCAATGAATGCAGCTGTAAATTTTATCATACTTTAGTGGCATGTATATGAACATTTAAAAAAAAATTGATAATTGGACTTTCCAAACACACGAAATTTTAAAATTCCCATTATTTTCCTCACACACCTCGTATAAAAAGTCATAACATGCGAATTGGATTAAGAATATTATTTTTAACTTAAAGAGGAAGTGTATTTATTTCATGATGTACAGATTAATGGGTTAAATTTATCATTTATTCTACAAGTTACACTTTTACTTTTTTATTTTTCGCTCGCATAGTCTACACACGTTTGCAGCCCGTTTATTTCTGGCGATGATACTCTGTGCTACCATTACCTTGGAGAACACCTATAGTGGTCAATTGAAATCCATACTGACTGTACCTATATTCACTGAAGCTGTTGATACCATAGAAAAGTGGTCGAAATCCGGTTGGACTTGGTCGGCGCCATCCATCATATGGATCCAAAGTATAGATAGCTCAAATATCGAGAAAGAGCAAGTAATGTCCGAGAAATTTGAGGTGCGCGACTATGATTTTTTATATAATGCCAGCTTTCGATCGGACTATGGGTTGGGTATCGAACGTCTTATGTGCGGGTCTTTTACTTTTGGCGATTATATAACGGCGCCTGCTTTAGAAACAAAAATTGTAAATTTTTTTGAATTACTTTCAAGAAAGATTTATAAATCTTTACACATTTTTAAGGTATCAAAAGATGACTTATATTTTGATTGGACACGTGCTGTCTCCATAAGGGGCTGGCCATTGATGCCGCTCTTCGACAAACATATACGCGCATTCATTGAAAGTGGACTTTACGTACATTGGGAAAGGAGGGTAAGGAGCAAATACATGTAAAGTGTCACGGCAGTAGAAATATCCAACTGTCATTATATTAGAAACCTTATTATATATTTCATAAAAACACGCATCCATTATTTCCTTTTGCTCCATCTCTGTATCAGTGAATCTTTCTCTGATCAAAAGATGGCTCCATTTGCACATATGTTGTCGTCTAAATTTCCCCTTAGTATTTACTGACTAAGTAAATTTATTAGGCAAATCAGCTGCTAGCTTGCTTCACATATCCCGATGAAGCATGAAATCATAAACCTGTTTGTAAACAGTAACATATTTTTGCTCATTTCAACCTTCAGATCGTGCCAATATACTTGAATCGCCAAACACAGGAAATTATAATGAACTTGGCCTCGGGCCACATCAACCAATTACCGCCACAAAAGTTAACCATAGAAAACATTTCGGGCGCTACATTTGCACTGCTCTTCGGCTGTCTGATTGCGGGCTTTGTATTTGTGTTGGAACTAACTGTTTACTACTTTAATAAATTGAAAGGTCTCTGTGTTAATAAAAACCTTAAAAAGTAAAAAAATAAATATGTCAAAGTAATAAAACTATTCTTAAAATTGTTTTTTGAAAAATGCAAAAATAAAACAAAAATATATTGTAATATACCAACAGATCAAATTTGACTCGGACCAGTTAAATTAAATTACGCATGCAAACCAAATGGATACAAAATGTTTTCCAAAATTTTATATGACTATTTTTACCGTAAAAAAATTTAAAAACGAAAAAATTTGTGGTTCCCAAAGTGTTTTGTGGAGTCTACTTTATTTTGAGCACAAATATTTGCGAGGCACAAAACATTCAGTGCAGCTCATGAAATCATCAAAAACTTGTCTGATGCGAGTCGTCCACCCATCTCTGTTAATAGCGATAACATTAATAAAATGATAACATAGGGTCTCAACATCTCTCATGGATCGACTCAATACATTTTGGTTAATGTTTTAGGTATGAGGCATGTCAATGCTAGACTCGTACCAGAAGACCTGAAACTTTTGCAAAAACGACATCGAGTGGAGGTCGCAAAAGTTATGCTTGACAACATAGCTGATGACCCTTCATTCATCCAGTGCATCATTACTGGTGAAGAGACGAGGGTTTATGAATATGATCAATCTAGCGAATGGCACTCCAAAACTGAATCGAAACCGAAAAAAAAGCAAAACGCTGAAAGTACTAAAGGCTATCCCGGCCGAAGCTGTATCTAGTGTTAGCATGCTTTTATTGACTCGAAGCTAAGTTTAAATAAAGTTTTATATTAAAATATGTCGAAATGTAGTTTTTTGTCAGTCCGGGTCAATTTTGATCAGATAGCATATATAGAGTTTATAAGCATTTTTCTTTTGACCGTTTCTCTTTTTTAATATACAAGAAAATGCTTTCCAGCCACTTTCTAGCAGTTAGTATAATGAAAAAAATTTGTTTTCATTCAACCCCTCAAAGAGAACCATACATACCAAGGCAACATTTCATTAACATCTACCAACGTACGCCCACTTCGCAATTCAACTGCAATCATCTTAACAGAAATCGATACCACTTTACTAGACTTAATCCGACCAAATAGCGGACATTAGAGGCACATAACGAGCAATCAAGACTTCGCTACCATAAACATGGAAATAGAAGTCAAATCGCGCTACCTTCAAATATCAATTTCAACTTTAATCCAGCACGTTTCCAGACACACACATACGCACACCTAGATTACATGCGTTAAATACGGGCACACGCCCGAACGCATCACAGACGGAATTGACGAAATGCAAGCATGTGTTGGCTTTATTGTGTTTCGCCCATGTCAGCGATCAAAAGCCGGATATGGCTCAATCTGAAGTTGTATAGGCACTGCAGCAAACTCTGAACACTAAAAAAGCTAATCGAAACAATTCAATTGACTCAACAACAAGAGAGCAGCCACAAACAACGGCCAAGTTGATTCGCTACAGCAGCAAAACAGTAAGCCACTCAATCAAGCGACCTTATAGACCATTACCTAAGCTGCCACAATAAGCGGCGTGGCGATGAGGGCAAAAGGAGTGTAAGTCTCGTGACAAATGTAAACACAAAATAGGGAAATAACAACAACATGTCCAACGAGTTTTCTTCAATGTCTCAACAACTGGCCATAAGTGTGCTTACAACACCACGCACGCACTCACACACACACGCACATACCCGAGTACCTGATCATGTTCGAAGTTGTAAGCGAAAAAGTGGTAGATTAAAAGATTTGTCGTATACGCGCCCACACAGCAGTCCACGTATGGCCATGCCGATATTCTGTGTAATGATATATATCTACAAGCAAACATATGGATTATGGGTAAACGGAGGACATTGATGTCAGCTGTGGGCCTCGTCGAAGGCGCAACAAGCCAATGAGGTCTCTTGGCCAGCTGGCGGTTGTGCTATGATTGCGAGCTATTCGTAAAACTGTATTGAAGCTGATAGTACCGCACTCGCCTTCGTTGACTGTCACAGCTCGACAACAATAAAAACTTCGTTACTGAGCACTGAACGATGTCAAGAGCTTTACACAGTAATTAAGCGTTGAAATGGTTTTCATCGCACATTTGCATGAGTCGTATGTTTTTATTGAGGCTTAAGCAATGAGCATTTTCGTCAGGTTGTGTTGGTCTGGCTATTTATATGACACGCAGAGTTCTTTTGAGCGCTAATAGGATTCTTGAGTGAGCGTGATACAAAACCTTATTCGCCAACCTTACCTGGGATCAAAGATCATTACAATGCAATTGTTGCTTTCTGAACTTTGTTATAATTGACATTTTCCTCCTGTGCTGCAATTTATTTTAAAGTCGATTTCGTTCCATTATTAATGGTAATAATAATAATAATAATAATTGTTTTAAATAAATCGGAAGGCAACTCATGCTAAGTCAGCAGTAATTTGATCGATATCATGTTGAAAATATCTTGGGATCAAATTTGACCTGGACTGGACATGTTCGTGTGAAATTTAATCTCTATTAGTGTTTTTTGCAACTGTTGTCTTACCACGCGTAAAGTTTTTCTGGCGATTTTTATTTCGGAAAAAAATTGAAAAACGAAGTTGCTTCATATATTGTGCATTTCCAATCGAATCACGGCATGGAATCGTTGAAAATGTTGCAGACGTCTTTTCGATAGAGCATCGGTTCCAACTTTTATTAAACGCAGCATTACTGGTGATGAGACGTGGGTTTATGAATCTGGCGTTGTGACTGTCCAATAATCTAGCAAATGGCCCTTCAAATATCAGTCGAAAACCAAAATTCGCTAAAGGCCCTAAATTTATTTTAAATTCCTTCTTTACCGAAAACCATGCCTTCCATCAGTAACCAATAAAGTTTGATCAAATCTTACTTAAGTAACTTCAGCTGCTTTTGTGACTCAACTTTAATTTCGTGGCAAAAAAATTCCTAATGAAGCGAGCATTAATTACCAAATATGCTGTTCATTCCATCGACTGGCCACTGGTTGGCATTTAAGTCACTTTGTTGCATATTGCAATGTAGCAAGTGCCACAAGTGCATGGTGCAAATACCTTGCATGCTGTATGTGTGAGAACTCCCTGTAAAGGAATGCCACTGATTAGAGTGGATGGATGACGTAAGGAGCGAACGTGGATGCCAGTGGTCGAAATGGGCGGATGAGGTATGTGGATGATTGCTTGAATGTGAGCGTACCTAAGCATCTATTCAAGAGCGCACCCCAAAACATACACGCATTTGTGTTGGTGTTGGTGCGCTTGAAGAATTTTCATGGCACCAGGGCTCTGAGGCGACCGAAAGTTTGATCTGCTTGCAGCAGCCATGCAACAACAAAAAAGAAAACTATTTCCGAATTATATGAAGTTCAAGTGCTTATAATACTTGATGGAATAGTTTTGGGTAAATTAATGCACTTTAAATGCTCAGTTCGCTTTAACTAAACCTGATTATTAACAAATGTTTTGCTCTCGCCATTTCACAATAATTTCATGTTATGCACTATTACATATTGTAATATATTTTCAATTGTATGCTCTGCCTGTTTGGAGCAAAAAATTGTTTATTTATGAGTTAATTAGTCTATGATAAGCTTTAGTTTTTGTTTTTTTGTGAATGTAAATCCTCACAAACGATTATCACCGCTCATCACACATTAAAGTAATGTGTTAATCGGATTTGGCCGCGGTTGGGCAATAAGGGATTCGTATGCGTTTTTCATAAATTATTTTGTGTGGAAATAAATACAATTTGTGGTCTTTCGCCGCATTTAAAATAATTAAATTTCCCAGCTTAACTCTCTAAGTGAATAAGCGGCTACAGTATAAACACACACACATATGTATATGGCTATTAAGGTGCCTGCTATTTCCTAAATTTATTTATATTTTTCTGAGTTCAGTTTTTGCACTAGAAACAATGATCCAATGCAAACAAGCTATCTATTTTCACCGTGACTAAAACATTTTACTTTTCCCATTTATATAACATGGTGTTGTTTCATGTTTCGCATTAAACAAGTAAACCTACAACCTTGGAAAAATTCTATTCAAGTACAAAATTTTTCGCTCGCAAAAATAGAAACAACTTTAGAAATAATCGTCACCCCAGAGTTCATATGTATCTATTCATAAGTATAGATCAACATAGCAGTTTTGAAAACTACATAACGGGTCATATATATTATAGTGGCGTTTCGCTAAACATAAATGAAGATGCATGATATGTTAATTTATTACTTTTGATTCCAAACATATTCAATTATTCCAGTTCACCTAGTTCTTAATGGAAAATTTCAATTACTCGAAGTATGTTGTTATCTCCTGTCAGCTCCTTTAATGCAAGGGCAGAAATAGAGGGATAAATTTGATTTATTATTATCAACATTCGGATTTTTATCCAGACAAGGACTGTCGATATGCTCAACATTTTTTTGCGAAATATTTTATGCCGATACAACAATACAATAATTTCTAATTTTGACTACTGCTCTGCTACAACAATGTGGTAGATGTCTTCGCTAAGCTTAAACCCAATAACCACCAGAAACAGAACAAAACTTGAAAAAGGGCCGTAACTAGTCTTATACCGATTCATTTCTATACAGATAGACACAGCAATAGAAAAGGCCATGGAAAGTATTTAATATGGCATACAATTATTACAAAATGGAAAAATAAAAAGTTTTTATAAACTTACAGAATTGAAAAAGTATACTGGTCAAAAATTGAATTTAGAAATTTATATAAAAACAAGTAATATAACTATAGTGATGAAAGAGCATGTGACTGATTTTCTTCTTTTTTTAGAGTTACACTTCTTACTTGCTCAAATAACTCCAGCAATTTATTTATATTTTCCTTTAGTCACATTCTAACATTGATAATGACTTATAAATATTAAAAATTATATTTTAAAGTACTCCAGGTCCTGAGCAAAAATGCCACGATGTTTATAACACACAGAAGAAAACGTCGGAGACGCTATAAAATAAATATCTAAATGAACAGCGTGCCGAGCTGAGTCGATTTAGCCATATCCGTCAGCCTGTTCGTCTATCTGTCTGTATATACGCGAACTAATCAGAACATCAGAAAGTATATAATATAGTAAGATATTTTAATGAACATAAAGCCTACTGACTTTTTTAAAAACATCGAATATTTTGACTTGAGAGTTTTTTATTGAAAATTAGTGTTTCTTGCGATATTAAGTCAATAGGAGAAAAAAAATATTTTAAATAAAATTAAATTCAGTTTGTTAGAAACATAAGAGATAAGTTTTCAGCAAATTTTATGAAATAAAAAAGTTTTGTACAAGATAACAATAAAAAACTTAAAAACTGGGTTATTTGAATTTTTCACTTAAATTTGAGGTTATGCGAAAAAAGTCTGTATACAAAAGTTATATACCTTCATTACCTACCACATAGCAATAAAACTTGTTTTTATAGAACTCGTAGACCTCAGATCACCTGTAAATTATTTTTATCTTAATGTTCGTTATTTTATATTTCGTTTTTGAGGGATTTCATCCAACTATGTTTTTTTTCGTTTTTAAAAATTATCTACCCTTGTCTAAATTGTTCAATAGAAACATGAAATATTAGTAGTACTAGTCAACTTTTATTTCCCTAAATTTCTCATTAGGTCATTACATTATATCATTGCATAAATTGTCTATTCCACTTCGATTCATGTGACAAGCGTAATTATTTTCACCCACAACAGAAAAGGCAAAGCTACGCATTACAACCTCAAGTTGTCATAGACTTAACATTACCACGCCGCTGTTACGTCGGTACATATGTCAAATATGTAATACGGCCAGGATTTACACGACCTTGAATTACACGCCGTTCGACATCAGCAAATGCGCCACGCTAGCAGACGCGCTAAGCGTTTAAAGCGCCACTTGGCGATTGCTGTTGAGCGCCAAGAGTGTGTGAGAGAAAAACTTCAACGCATATGCGCACGCATATTGTTACAAACAACGGTATATATACCTATGCGGTCATATATTCCATCGCAGCTCGTTAGCTTCGCAATTTACCACATTGTAGTGAGCAGCCTTGAAACTGCGTAGTGACAAACTTTCAACAGCATCAACCAACCAACAACAATTGCAATATGTACGAATGCACTCGCAAATAGTGGGATAATAAGTTAAATGCTCGTTGCATGCAGCAAACGAGGCAAAAAAAAATGAGCAAAAAACAATTGTAGAACGCATATAGCAGCATGCGTGCGGGCTGATGATACACTGCGTATACGTAACATTTTGTACTTGAGCTAGCAAGTTTATAGCCGCAGGTTTAATTGCATGTAACACTAGTCGCGGATAGAAAGTGATTGCAATTTGTTTGTCTTTAATAAAAGGGAGGCAACTTCCTTTGGTTGCAAATTACTGGTTATTTTAAAAAAGAGTTAATACTAGGGATGAATCCAAGAAATGTCTGAATAGTCATCTTTTAAAGCATAGTGTGGTTCTCGACTTATATCAGCTTTTTTAAGAGTTTTTTAATCAATTCTAAAGACTCGCATTAAAATCGTTGAAGCATCACACAACTCACCGATCGGTTTAAAATCTTTCGAGCTTGCTAGATATATAAATAAATTCACGAATTTCCCTCGAAAACCATGTACTTGGAACCGGAATGCAACCCTTCCGGTTGCTTTATTCATTATTTCCGTATAGCCTTTACTTCTTTTTACTTTTGTTGCTGTTGTAACTTTTTTCTACTTATAATAATCCACAACAAATTGGCAACCGCAACCAAACACGTGGTCCGCAACACTTCAATAGCTGCCATTTACATATGTACACACACATTTATACCATATATACTTGGTATTTCATAGACATAATGTGTCCGTTGTTAATGGGTTAGATAATGTCTTCTATTCGTAGCTGTTGTTGTGATATTGCAACACGCAATGTTAGTTTCAGATGTCCTCGCATGTCCTTTAAGCGTTTAATTAGGTGTCAACATGGCATTTAATCAAGCCACCAATGACAGGCATTTATTGCTGCTGGTATAATAATAAAAACTTACTGAAATGATTATGACGCTGTTGCGGAGAACACTATATAGTGATGACGTGCATTTTTTATGATTTCAGGAATTATTTAAACGTACGTATTATATATATAAATGGATATATATATATTTATATACAAATGGTTGTGTATGTTAGAGTAGTCATAGACTTTGCAGGAAATTGAATGCTCTACAAAACGATCTCTTACGATTTTTTCGTAAACCTAATAATAAGGATATAATTAGGAAACTGTAAGGCGGAGGACCTTCATGTTACAATTAAGAGCTTATACTTGGAGAGCCTTTCTTAGAGGTGTCCATGGTTGTACATCTTGAATTTCGTGGTAATAGATTCGGATATCTAAAGGCCTAGCTACCAGGATTGAAATAGACTATAATTTAATATTTACAAACCATATTATATCATTTTAAAGTGCAGCAATAAAAGAAAAAGTCTTTTGCAGAGTCTCAAAACCGGCGAAGATGTAACTTAGCATATTTTTTTCTTGCGCAACTGAAAAATAACTTCAGGGGCACAACTTGTGTGAAATTTCGAAAAAAAATCAAACTTTTCATTCAAGCATATATCCTTCAAAAATAACATACTAAAATTTTTAAGAATATTTCAAATATTTTTTTGAGTTACAGCCTTTTAAAGTGTATCCATCAATAGTTAATCAGTTTATCTTTAAACGTATTTTCGTAGAAACCACATTTTTCAAATTGGCTGAAGTTGTAACTCGAACTCATCCAATCGCCGCAACTTTTTTCTGCATGTTGTGTGTATAGTTTTGTTAACTGAACAATTTTGGCAGGTTTAAAACCACCAAAGCATGGATAAAATTATTTTTTTTTTAAACCACCATTTTGTAATATATATATAATAATTTTTTTCGACCGTAAGTCATTATACGAACAATATCTTCTAGATAACATTTTTTTTAGATTTCATTCACGGTCAACGCCGAAGTCACTGCAGCAATCGATGATCGCGTGTAACTTGAAAAGTATATAATATTTTTTTCAAAAATTTTACTGTGTATGCTTAAAATATCTATACATTTTTGTATCATTAAAATTTGAAAACAATTTGTATAGTAGTTTTTTTTTTTTAATTTCCAAAAATCGCCGTTTTTGGCTTATCACACTAGGTGTGCCGCTTACAATTTTAATAGCCCCTGTATATCCAATATCTTAGTAGAAATCAGAAATTTAGGAACTTATAACTTTTAAAATACTCCGCTTAGAAGAAAAATATATGTTGAAGCATACAGGGTTCTCCCCTTCGCTCAAATATCCTTTAAAGTTCCCCATATTTTTATTCAAACCTACCTTTTATTCCTTAATTACATTACATCCTTGTGCAACATTCATTTTACACACATGTCGTATATTTACCATTTCCTAACCCTATACTACATCCTGACCGTATGCATTAAGCAAGAAATGGAAGTGTTCCCGTTTAAATTAAAACTCACAACTAAATCGCCGCCTAAGTGCTTCTCCACTTCAAGTGTGTACCGTCGAGTGGCAAATAAATACTGGAAATGAATTTAATTTCCGCACACCGTTACGAAACTAAAAACTTTGTGACCACCTAACGGCAAAGCAACAGCAACAACGCACAAAACTAAAAGAACACAAACGAGTGAAAAAAGTGCACACAGTGAACTTAACGGTAAACCAGGAAATCGATTTGAAAACATTTCATCGAAATTGCAACTTAAAGTGTCAGTGCAATGTGATGCTCGAAAATGAGTAAAGAGTTGTTGCTCAATTTCATCGACAATGTAAGCCGCACAGGCCAAGCGTGCTAGTCTTGATTACACTTACAGTTCGGAGGAATACGAGCAGTTCAATGATTCAGGCATGAAGGGGGGTAGCACTGCAGGCATTTCGTTTGTCAAGGAGTTTACACCTGTCGTATTGCGATACAAGAAAAAAATAAAGGGAAATGAAAGAAATAACATCATCATAATGATTCGACACGATATGGGAAAAGTTGAGCTCGTAATATTTTCATAATCGCAAATAACATTGCATTTCCATTTTGTGGTGTTGAATGAAAATTTGACAGTTCCTCTTAAAGAGGCATCACTTTTGGATAAATAGATTGGCAGGGCTTTGTAATTAGTTTCTTTGAGATGAAGGATACATACTGAGGGTCCACCTACTAGGTATACGGCGAAAAGTTTTTGTATTTCACAAAGAAAATAAAAAAGCCGTCAATGAAGCGTACCAGAAAAAGTTAAACCTTTCGAAGGCAATGCGGTTCATACTTCTACCATGCTTTGAAACATGAAAATGTTACAAGGATTTGATGTCCTTTCTTAACTATACTAATTGATCAAAATTGACCCGGGCTAGTTCATTTTTTGGTCGTTTGAAGTTTGATCTACATATGTCAATTTGGGTATATTTGGCAGCTTTCTGTTTTCGACGCGAAAAGTTTGTCTGAATAATACGAGTTTTATCATGGAAAAGAATTAGTAAAGAGTTTGCTTGAAATTTTATGTTCCTACCACCTTCACCTACGAAACCATTGGAAATGTTGCAGAAGTGTTTTGGTTTGTTCTATTTGTTTATAATATAAAGTTTAGTGAGTGGCACAAAGCATCCAGTGAAGTTCGTGAAGTCATCAAAAACCTGGCTTATGCGAGTCGTCCATAGAACTCTGTTTATGACGATAGCATTGAAAAAGTTAAGGAAACAGTGCTTAAAAAACGTCGTGTTGGCATCACAGAAATATGTTGGATCGATTAAACACATTTTGGTTAATGTTTTAGGTATGAAGCGTGTCAATGCTAGAATCGTACCAAAAGACCTGAATCTCTTGCATCGAGTAGAGGTCGCTAAAGATATGTTTGACAACGTAGCTGAAGACTCTACCGCATTATTACTGGTGACGAGACTTGGGTTTATGAATATAACATCGGAACTATCCAGCGAATGGCCCTCCAAAAATGCGGTAAAAACAATTAACTCATTCGTGTTTAAATCTAAACTGTATTTGAGATCAGATAATCTCTCTTAATTCTTCTGCGACTTCTTTCAAATGCTTAGAAAGATACACCAAGTGTTTACAGAAGAAATTCGGTGCCGTCCTTACAAACACATACCCAGTTAAGATACCTTCTATTTTTCTTCTGCATCCTGCCATCAAAAATGCTTATTTTGCAGAGTATTTTACTTGATAGGTTTTTATTTTGGGAAATTGCAAAGATATGTGTTTACAGTATCTACCTCGGTATGTCTGGACGGCAAATATCATAATCGAAATCAATCCAAAACTCATTTCAAATTGCTGAGGGCATGATGTACATACCTCTCCGGGAGTGATATAAGAAAAAATAGACGCTCGTATCTAACTAGGGTTCTGTGAAATCGTGGTAAAGCATATCGAAGCAGGCGTGCTCCTTGAAAAAAACTGGTGCAAATGAACATCCATGTTGCTAAACAAACAGCTGACATGATCTTGAATACAACGCTATAGCAGAAAGAAGAGAAAAAAAGCAATGAAAACGAAACTTTATAACATAAATCATTTTTTGTCTTACCATTAGCAGAACGAACGAGAAACATGTTTCACTGAAGAACAAGAGTTAAGCTTTACAGTTGGTTATAGAATCCATAAAACGTAGAATCATAGAATAATTCAGCGCGGACTGTTTTGTTTGATTTTAACTTTTATATTATTAATTTTTGAGTTGACTGGTATCGTTAAAAATCGCGTAGTAAAAGTAACGAGCTAGAACTTCTTCAAGTACAAATATATAGAGTACAGTTATCGAGTACATATATACAGGTACTGGTATTAAATACTTTCTGATTAAGCTTATTAGAACAGCCAACAAAATATTATTGCAATTTGCTTTGCGGCTTTATCCAAACCATCATGGATACACCGTTATATTCGGTGATTCTGCAAACTCCGTCAAACTCTCTATAGAACCCGAGACGCATACTAAACTCTCTGCTGGAATACTACATAATGGCGGATGTATACGTGTGTATCGACCACATTTTGCATTTGTATATTCACCTTTACAGAATTGCTGTCTCTTCAATAGGAAGGCCGGCGATGAAGTACTATATGAAGAGACATTCGACGCTGTTGAAGTTTCTAAAACGAAACTTGCCACGGAAGATCTTCTAGAGTTTATTTCCATTAACTTTGAATACATATCAACTGATTTTGTATAGGGTGTAGCTAGAGAGGTGATCTCGTTCAGACTATGCGACCTGATTGAGCTATGTGTCGATAATATATTCTCCTCATCAAATACTGCACTTTTAAAGCTATGTAATGATGATTCTTTTATATGTACTTGACGCGGTGCTCGTTTTTGTTTTGAAAATCTTTTTGGTTTTTCTTTATGCGTTTTTTCACTAGCGAAATTCTTCACAGTTAAGTGTGTCTTGACGCTCAACTCCGAGTTAGTCGGGCTTTTGAATTGAGTAGCCATGTTAGTGGAATTTAGCTTTTAGCTTCAAAATTTCGTTTTTATGATTTATACTAAAGAATTTTTATTCGTTTTTCAATAGATGGAAAAAAGTTTCAAAATATTTTTGAATTTGTCAGCTTCATAACTTCATCTTCCTGTCGTTGACATTTCTCTCTAAAGGCAGTAAGCAAACAGAATCGAGTATTGTTAAAACCAAAAAATGTTACAATCTAATAAAAAATATTTTTTAATTATAATTGATCTTGGTATACGTATTCAGTATTTAGAAGAGTACAGAAAGAAATTTTTTAAGTATTTAAATATTTTTTAAAAGTAGACTGAATGTAATCGGCTGATATTGAATAGAAAAAGCAATTTTATAGATCCATAACATCATGATTTTGCCAATTATAAATTTTAGATTAGTCATATAAGTGTTCTCTTTTCTCATTTTATTAATGGAATGATCTTGGACGGAGCTGAAAACGTTTAAGGTAACTGAAGCGAAAGCTATCAGCAAAGCGGATCACACCTTACATGAGCCTTTGCTCATAAAAAGTTTACTAGGGTTAAAGAAAAAGTCTAGAATTTACTATGCGTCTGGTCTAAAAGGTCTGAAGTCTAATATTTAACTAAAATAAGTAATAAATTACTGCTATGCTGTTCATTTAATAACCAGCATATGCATTTCAGTGCATCATACTTTTCAATGTCCTCCGGCTCATATTAAACAATTATGTTATTTGATTATTGCATTTGTACACCATTAAAAAGCCAATTGAGCTAAAACCTTACTAATTGAAACATCGAAAATGCATGATTTTTTCGTTTGCTCTACGAATTGCGGCAGCTAAAAGGTAGCAATTAAATACATGTCTATCCAACCGGCATATGACAAACCGCCAAATCAACCAGCTACACAGTTTTCCGTAACTGTTTCCTTTTTTCATGCCTGTATATACATGCATACATATTTATACACGCGCAAAAGTTGGACATTGAATTTTCCAATCAAATTGGCAGTTTTCAATTGAGTTCATTCATACAAAATCCATTCAAATGAAATGCCCGCGACGCAGTGGATTGATGGAAGCAGCATACATGAATAAACATATGTACATATGTACAGTGATTTCTATAAATACATATGTATGCATGATATATGTGTATGTGCGCTGAAATTTAAATAAACAGCAACTGCAAAAACAATTTCTTTCTTTCTTTAAATTATTTTCAATTGACTACCCATATCCTATAAAAAGCTTTTAATTAGCTGCCAATTTGACTGCGAGAATTATTTCATTTTTATCTCTTCACATTTTGTTTTTCATTAAATTTCACATCAACAATCAATCGCCGTTCATTATCATCAGCCATTTCCGCATCCGCTTACTAATTCAACACGTTTGTACGCATCTGGTAAGCACTTACACTCTTACAAAATTGGAATATGTGGTTATATATCATATGTAACCGCATGAGGCATTTGGGAAGCCGATATTTTGTTGTAATTCAAAATTTTACCTAATTCTTCGATCATTACCTGTATTCATCTGTAGTAATAATAATTGTTTGTTTTTTGGTTTTTCGATTTTTGATAATTTAAAGCTTTTTCCACACTTTTAGACACATTCTTCGGACGATTTTTCAAAATGAAGCGCCGATTAGTAAAGTCCATTAAATTCAGTAAATGTATATTATTTTTATACTCTTGCAACATGTTGCTACAGAGTATAATAGTTTTGTTCACCTAACGGTTGTGCGTATCACCTAAAACAAATCGAAAGAGATATTTGCAGAGAAGATGAAAATATTTTTGACACTTCCTTCGACAGTGTGAAAATGGATGAAATCGGACGATAACCCCGCCCACTCCCTATATAACGGTTTTTTTAAAAACTACTAAATGTGCGATAAATCAGTAACTAAATGCATCAGAGACATTAATGTGTACATCCGGGATGGCACAAGAAGGTTTTAAAGGAACCGTTGTCAAAATTGTACGATAGGCATGACACCGCCTACATTTAAACGAAATCATATTGCTCCGAAACTAAATGATCAATTTCAACTAAATTTGGTACATAAAATTATTTTAACAATGCCATCTCCTTGTGAGAGAAAATGAGCGAAATCGGATTGCAATCACGCCTACTTCCCATCTAACACAATTATAAATTTCGTATAATTCTTTTACTTTGCAGTATACAAATCAAGCACCTAAGAACATATTAGAGCCTTCGACCATCTCAATTCTAAAAATTGCCAGAATCGGACTTTAATTGTTCAAGCCCCCCGTTTCGGAATATGGGAACCCAGTGCCTGTGCTACCTTTTTACCGGAAAGAACGGTCTATCTGTAAGATATATTATTGCAATTCGGAGAGAGTCTCTTTCTGATAATAGTATGCAAGTATGTCAAAAATTGCTTGAATCGGGTCAATACTTTCCTTAGCCCCCAAATACCTTATCGCAATATTTTCGAACTTCCGATTTACTTCATACCGCATATACAAGGTGCGTTCCAAAGCAAACAGTACAAAAGTAACAAAGTAAACTCTAGTGGCGCCATCTATATGCCGACTAGTGCGTTAGAATCTGTTATTCTTTATCCTTGTATCGGCTAATATGTGAGCTATTTCCATAAAATTAAGTGGATGTCGTCTTATAACAAATCACAGAATTTTCAAACATCCGGTTAATTTTACTCCCTGTATACGTATATTATATTATACAATATATTTATAAAATTGCATAAAAAATTAATTTTAATTATACCTCAGCAATGTCAAAATTAATTCATTCAGTCCATCCCTTTCTTTGTCTCCAATATAGCATGTATAATAATTTTCGACTTGCTAGCTCACAAAATGTGTGATACTTTAATAAAATTAAAGGAAGAAGTTTTATTAAAACTTGTGTGGGATGTGAATGAAATTAGTCTACACTTTTGTCCAAACCTTGTATTCCTAAAATAAGGATTTGCGATTTCCTGCTTGACATTTTGACATCAACTCATTATATTCAATTTAGCTTTTTTAGTTGAGTTTATATCCCATATATCTCATTTGAAGATGATTTTAATAAAATTTTAGCTGATACGAAGTATAATATAGTAATAAAACTAAAAGAGTATGTGACCTACAATATAACTTAAAAGTATACAAATTTGATTGTAATACAATGACGATTTCGTCGAACAATGAGTGTTGAATTGTTTCGCACCACTTTTTAATATAAAGTTTTCCTAAAACCTGGGGGTGTTCTTTTTGCTTTGATCCTTGCAACTTGCAAAAGTATAAAATGTTCGGTAACTTAGCCCTTCCTTACTTTTTATTAATTCGTTTGATAAAATGACTTTGACGCTTATACTTAAATATTTTTTATATTTTAAGAATTTGATGAAATTATCAAGGGTATAATTTTTAAAAATACCGCTTATGGTACCAAAATTTTTATGACTTTTTTTATAACAATTTTGTTGTATAAAAACTTTAAGCTGATTGAAAATCTCCTGAAAAATATTTTTAAATGTAAACATGTTTATACGTTTCCGATTTCCTACCCATAATGTGGTACTTTTTATGTTTGCAATATTTTGAACTTTACATTTCGAAATGGTTGGCAACCATAGTTTTTTTTTTTTGCTTGGAACATTTGGAATTGTATGCTAAGAATATTTGAATACTAGTGAAAGCATACAAAGGAATAAGATTTGGTTTTTTACTTTCTTCATCTACTGAAAAGGCATCTCGAGCCCACAATATTTACTGTAAAAAAACTGGTTTTAAATATAAAATGCAGTAAAACCATAGCATAGAGGCTTTGTACTTATAATTATATCAGCTTGACATATGCAGATATGTCATATACTCGTGCATATATAAGCACACAAGTTCCCACTTAAATAACAAAATTGGGCGTTTATATATATCAAACCAATCAGCACCCATTACGTGATGTCTTTTTTGAGTCAGAATGCCATGATTACATATGTTCTGTGTTATCATTTCTTCACTACTATCATTATCTTAAAACACAAATCATTACTATTAAATATGATTGCTCGCCATGAAAAGTCATCTTATGTGCTTATTGGCAAAAAGGAAGCTTCAGAGAAATTGGCAATAGCAGCCAATATAGCGACCAATAACAGCTGTTGTCAACAACAGCAAAAAAAATGAATATCACTCTCAATAAGAGAATATTGCGTGAACTAAATTGCTTCGACAGAACTGTTCGAGTCACATGAAATATTCATAAAGTGCCTTTGTTATTTGGATATCAATATTTGCAAGAATGCTCGCTTAACCTCGTAAAGCTTTTACACCATGGAGTATGTACCATACATATATCTACATATGTATGTATTTATTTTTAACGCTCTTGCAACATGTTGCGAAGATTAAAATAGTTTTGTTCATCGACCGGTTGTTTGTAAACATAAATCGAGACAAATATAAATTTGTATACGTATGTATATCAAAATAATCAGAATGTCAGAAGACGAATTGATTTCCAGATATATGCATGCCCGTTCCTCCATTGTAAGTCTATCATTGACACGCTTCTTACCCAAAACATTAACCAAAAAGTCGATCCGTAAGAGATGGTAGATCCTCTGTTTCCACGACTGTCGGGTCTACGTAACCGGAGCGGACCCGGATTTTATCCGGCCAAGAATTGTCAAATCGACAGAGTTCTGCCGCTACAACAACAACAAAATGGTAGATCCTCTGCTATCTCTCTGAGACCATGATGGTATATAAAAATGTATGTATGGTATATAAAAATGTTTGTCTGTATAGCAAAGTTGTTATGCATGAGCCAAAGAAGGTTTCTGAGTTGGTACGAGCAATTTTCGACAGTGGAACAAAATCAATAAAATGAATCGAATATCAGGCTGGGTACAACGATAAAATGAAGAGTAGCGAGCATTCTTGGACACTTTTCAATTCACACTGACACATACGCTCGCTAAGTCTTCTTGTCTTGTTCGTTTCTCTCCTTTCCCAGGTCGAATCGAAACCTGCTTAGGTACTTCTTTACTTCTCTACGTTAACTTAACTCAAAACGTTTGAATTAAGTAAGTATGATTAAGTTAAATTAGGTTAGAATATATTTAATTATATTGAGCTGACTAGGCGGGTCGCAAATAATATAAAATGAGGTTTAGTGTATTCGTGTTGGATCGAAATATATGATGATAATAATTTGGCGTTCCAAGCTTAATTCCTGTATATTGACGATAACTCCTTACCACTTGTGGTGTGTTGAAGTTATACCACAAATGCAAATTTTTACCATTTCCTATATAGTAAAATGATCAATACAAGTCATTCAGGCAAATAAGAGATAAGCACACATATGTATATATTTCAGTAAGCCAAACTTCAGTAGGTGAGGAAAGTGTAAAGACCTGGTACATTGCTCGTACTCATAGGTGATAACATTTGGAAAATTGATATGCACGTGGATGGTTCACGTTGGATTTAAATATTTGATAAGCATATAAAACTTATATGCATATTTTGTACTTGCATATATATATATATGTACATGATATTGTTGTTGTCAAGACGGAAAACTTCAATCAATCAAAAATTGGACTATCCCGTTGTTGGTAATGCTTGCGGAAAAACTTAGTTAAATTGAAGTTGGAGGAGCTTTTACGAACGCTTGCTGCCTCATCGATTTTTGTAAGTGGCGGATGGACCTGCATTGATCTACGTTGTCGTGTTATGGTAAATTCACCTTTACAAAATAACTGACGTTTGGTTACAAAGTCAGTAGCTTCATCACCGGATCGCAATGCTATTATGCTGAAATCACGTGGCAAAAGTGGGTCGATGAGTTTTTTCGTTTCTTCAGTAAATTCATTGCTCTTTCTCTTTTCCGTAACGCTAAAACGCATAGTCGATGATCGTCTTGGAAATGGTGTGGCAGCTTGTTTGATCTGTATATATCCATAGTCCTTATGTATAGGTTTATATGTCATATCAATGTTGCTTTGATCGAAATGAGCTCGTCGCTGTTGTGATGTATCGGAGGAATCAGAACCTGCAGCGAGTAAACCGTTCGAGGTTATCGAACTAACAGACTTCCTCTTCAGCGAAGATTGAATTCCATATCTTTTTTGACCATCATCACTAGCTTTTCTGTTTATAGAGGTATTGCTGCGAGTTGCGAAATGGAACGACATTTATTTTTTATTTTGATAATAGCTTCTTTGTTCAAAATAATGAGTAATTAAAAACAAAAAATGTGTAAAAAATACAATAAAGCGCACACGTCTTTGAAGACTGAAAACACAAACTGAATGTTATGATTTTTTCTAGAAAATCAAATATCAATGTTTGAGTGTTTTAAATTTGCTGATCATCTGGCTAAAGTAGAATTGTGTTGTTAACTTGCTCAAAGTTAAGATGTACATGGGGCCCAGCATGCATATAGTAAGGGTAGGTCAGTAGACACTACTTTTCACACTGATGTTACTTGGTTAGAGAACCTTTAAGTAGAAAAAATTCGCAGTTGGGACCATCCTCGATTTACGGATGGATCAAAGCTTGCGGGGAGAGTCAACTTTAGGTTCAGGCTTCCTTGATCATAGCAGCGTCTTCCAAGCAGTTGTCGCTGCCATTAAGGTAGAAGCAGATATATTGCTTCGAAGCAGCCTCTTTAGCGGTGACTATGCACTCTGTTAGTATTGCTACGATACTGGCCCGCTAGCTAACCGTACGCACGAGAATAGTAAAGGGATCTCTCGATTTCCTATATCTGGCATCGAGTTGCTTCATGGTTAGACTGGTTTAGGTGCCTAGCCATAAGTCAAATATTTATTTCTTACTAGCTCTAATGGCTTCTTTCTGTTCACTTCGGCATCCACTGTTGCTCAGCAAGCGCTGGTCAGATACTAGCAACTGTGTGAGCGGAATGTCCTTCTGACTCAAAGTATATCGTAAGAGGTTTAGTGATTCACCCTACCAGCTGTTATAGGAGTTTTAACTGAGCACTGCCCATTCGGAATTATTACGGGAAGATTGAATGCCACGCATTGCCTCGGTTAAAATATTCATGTTTAGCAAACGTTTGACAAAGAAAAATGGTCTTGTTGTTCCATTGTCTTCCCAAAATATAAAAGACCCAATTCATGCCGGGTAGGTAGAACCGATCGAAAGGTTGTTATTCTGTAGCCATCTCAAAATAAGTTTGACAAATGATACCGAGTTGACAGTCCTTGGCTGCGTAAAAACCCGGATCCGTGCCGGTTAGTTAGATCTGACCGTAGTGGGAATGTGCTAAGGACTGTGCTGTCAATCAATAAATGAATGCCCCGCCGCTATCGACATGAAAGTAAAATGTTAACCCATTTCGAAACCTGCCAAAATCTAACTCTCAAATAATGGTGATTACAAAACTGCATGTCTAAAAGCATAGCATTGTTAAAATCCCTACATTTATGTATGCTCCATCTTATCTTCTTTTAAAAAAGCGTGTCATTCGTCTGCTTTACTTACCACGCATGCAGTGCGCAATATTTACCCCAGTTTCTCTTTATTTTCTAATACCCCATTTGCCATAATCGCTCAACAAAACATTCTTGTATGTACATATATTTATAAATGTATAAAAGTGTATATATGTGCATATGTGCCCACTAATGCTGCATCCGGTTTTAATTAGTACGTGCAACCGAGTTGTCCTCAGTCGGTCAATTTACCGCAGAAACTTCATCAACAAACTGTGGCATTTCAACCTGTGCTGCACTTTGCCGCATTTAAGTACTCGTAAATGTAACAATGCGCATACAAACATACACATACCGTTAGACGCATTAAATTCCACTGCACTAGCGCTGCAGTCGAATGCGGCTAACTGCTTTCTTTTTGTGTGCTCATCACCAGCAGACAGCCGATGGTTCATTACCTGTAATGCCTCCCAACCTCATTACTCTCCGAAATAGTTTTGTTGTTTTTACTCTATAATTGTCTGCAATCAATTGATGTCGTTACAATGATTGTTGGTGATCATAGCGAAATCATTGGAAGCCAAGTGAATGCCTCAATAAAATTCATTGATGAAGTCATCGACAAAAAACTGGAATAGTTGAAAGTAAAATCAATTTGCTTTTTTCTTCAAATACTTTGTAAAAACTTATTGGTTATAGACTCACTTAGTATTATATAATTACTACATTTTGCTTGTTCGAAATATTTATATTAAATTCATACAAATTAGCTCAAATGAGCTGACAAATATATGTGGTGTGATAATTAAGCTGTAGCATATACAACATTATACATCTCCTTAATTTTGCCAACACATCTTACTTATTGACCGATACATTTGTATACGCTATAAACTCAACCAGAAGTTTCAAATTCGCATATTAGGTGTATGGGGGCTAGGATTATTATTGGGCCAATTTTATCCACTTTAGGCACAAGATCACACTGCTTGAAGCGGAACCGCCTCCTTGGAACATCAAGAGGTCATTCCTTGATTACGTCGACGACATCAGATAGTACGACGACCGGACTTCGGACTATAGACAACCATTAACTCCTTCATCGACTCCCTCTCAGCGAATGGCGTACTAGGAGTCAAACCACCACCCATAGCAGACGTAGAGCTCGAGTTGCCTCGCGAAACCAGAGTGACCCTCGCGCAACTTCATTGTGGATATTGCAGCAGGTTAAACTCCTACTTATCCAGAATAGACCCCGACATTCCAAACATATGTCCTGCGTGCAATGAGCCTCCGCATGATACTAACCACCTCTTTGCATGCCCAACAAACCCAACTCATCTAACACCCTTTTCCATATGGTCTGACCCCGTCGAAACAGCCTGTTTCTCTATCTTCCAAGCGGGGACTAGATAACCGTTACAACAACAATAGAAAGTTCGAAAATCTTTTTATTATGTATATATAGGGACTAGGGAAAGTATCGCGAAACAATTACTTCTAGAAATATATGCTTTCTAACTTTCATTAAGATATCTCACAGATTGACCAATATTTTCGGTAAAAAGTCAGCCATAGGCACTGCAGTCCAAATATTTGGTACCTGGGGACTTGAAAAGTAATAGTCAAATTTCGACTATTTTTGGACGTTAAATCGCACACCTTAAATGTACTTTATATGCAAACCATCTTGGGTGTATAATTTAATGTCTCCGTGTCACTTACCGTACTCCTTAACCCTTATGTTAGGAACCAACTTTACCGACGTCTTTTAGCAACCGGGTACCGGGGTACTCGATCTGAGTATTATTATTATTTTGTTTATTTTATTAAAAAAAAAAATTTTAGAATAGAATATTAGTAGTCAGTAACAATTTAAAGAATGAAAAAAAATAACAACGTAGAATAAAAAGAGTAACAACGTATAATAAAAAAAAATAACAACGTAGAATAAAAAAAAATAACAACGTAGAATAAAAAAAATAACAACGTAGAATAAAAAAAAATAACAACGTAGAATA